ATTGCAGTCGATACTTGGAGTCTCGAAGTTCGCCACTAACAATGAGCAAGAGGACCGTGCACGTCCTCGTGTATTGGTGCGGCAGGCAGGAACTTTCATCTTGAAATCCTTCCACCTTGTTGACGTCGCGTCGATATTGAACGCGGAACGTAAGCTACGACGATGTATTATTTGGAAGCGATAATAAAAAATAATTTGCAATTATTATTGGATTTTTAACGTCACGAAAAATATTTAAATCATTTCAAATTACAAAGGTTAATTGAAAATTTTGAATTGCAAATCTCGTGAAAATAAAGAAGTCGTCATAACGACTGTTTGCATATTTTCTTCAAGAGTACCGCGAATATAATTCAGCAAAAACTCCTCCGAACGCTAGCCGCAACCGTGATCTCTTTTTTTGGAGTTGGAGAATAAGCAATTCAAAAGATATATAAAACATAATTAAATGAAATTTTGAGAAAACTCTTGTAAAAATTTAATTTTATCCCTTTTTTAATAATGTGTCTCTGTGACTTTGATTTTCTTAATAATTGGAGACTTCTCCCAAAAATTATCGTAATTAAATGCGTTAGCATAATTCCTATTGATCTTCTGTAATATTGAATATATAAAACAATATATTAAAGTAAAGCTATTACCGTAAAATCATTAAACAATTCGTACACTTCTCGTTTATTTCCCTAAAAATGTTGCCGAAATACCGCTGCATAACACACGGCAATTCTCTTTGCGCTATCGCCGCTACCACTGAAACAAGTCGTATACTCGTCTTGCCGCGACGTTCTGGATTCTGCTGGCGAATGCGGGGACCACCGACAACGACGACGACGAGTCGCGTTAACTCGCCTACGAATATGCGAGCGATGTAAATTCCGCGCGTCGACGGAAGTGCTCCGTTTCAGCTGCAGTTGCACGGCAACCCCTTCCCCTACCACCGCGAAAACACGCTGTGGCTTTCGGCGAACGAAAGCATGTCGTTGGTATTTTCCCGAATAGCAGTACCGAAAGTGGCTTCGACCGTTAGAAGCGGTGAGCTTTCGGGAACAAAGGAGGATTCGTCACGGTTAACGCTTTTCCTCCTCGCGCATTAATAATTGCAAATTTCAGTTGTTAACCCGCGAGAGTTATTCGCAATTTTGCTTCAGTTCTCAATGCGACGTTAATTCACTCGAACGATCAGAAATTACAGTAAATTTGTTGTAATTTGACGATTCCGCAAAGAAAGGTATTTAATATTTCGTACGGAAATAATAATATGCGTGCGGCTTCTTTATTCTTAAATATAGAGAAATTTACGAAATTTACGAAAAAATAGATAGTTTTTTCTGAAAAGTTTACCTTTTTATTGATATATTGGAATGTGATGCGATTAAGGGTGCTTTAAGCGCGAAATCGATTCTCACCGCGATACAATCGGGCTAATGCAATCAAACTTTTCTAGAAACTTCGGCAAATCCAAGACTCCGTAAGATCGTACCGATTCGAAGATTTTCTATGAATTTTTAATCGCACACGTCCGCAAAGCCGCCTACCAAAATCCGGGATTTTCTACCTAACATACTACGTGGAATAAGATGCGAATGTACAGAATGCCGTTAAAGTATCACGCGAACGTGATGCGAAAAACTCATTGCGAAGGATTCAACCAAAAAATATATGTATCAGGTAATCGCAGCATCTGTCACGGTGAGCGATTTATTTTCGTTCCTAACAATTTAGACCGAATGCAACCTGTGCACAGTACGTGGCAGATCTAAAAGGCAAATGAAAGTATATATATCTTGGTGCCCGCATTTGTATAGCAATCTTATCTTTAACAAGTCTTATATATTATAACCGCCTTGTTTGTTGCAAAACGGGGCCATCTCATAAATCTTAAATAGATCATTTTTGACGTTTTGACGTTTTATGACGCGCGTTTACACAGAGACGACAAAGATACGATAAATCTCTCCTTGTTCCAGAAAGAGATAAAAAGGGCGCACCGTCGTGCCATTTCCACTGAATATTTGAACAGTTTTTACGTCGACAGTTGGCTTACATTTGTACCACATTCCTAAAGTCATTCACATGCATCTTCGACGTTCTAAAATACCCCTGAGAGCGTCTGCCACTTTCTCTCTTTTGCTCCTGACCATTTGTCGCGCTTGGAAGAACGGCGGGTGATATCCGTCAGTACAGACGGATAAACGCGAGCCAGGAAAGACTCGCCTCGCTCTAACCTATAAAATATGAATGAGCTAGTAAGTGCATCTTGCAGGAAGAGCTTGAGGAAATTCCTCTGCCACCGCTTCGCAACGAACGATCAACTTGTTTATGCACGTCCATAAATGCATATGAATAAAATTAAGTAATAAGTTTAACAAATTAAAATAGCGAATATTACGCTATTTCTTAGTTATTTCTTATAAAACAGTATATTGCTCTAATTGTTTCTAAATAGTTTTATTTTAAATTCTAAAAGAAGTTCAAAAGTGAAATTACATTATATATATTTGTATACCAAATGTACGCAAAGTTTTTTAGAAATTTTAAAGATAATGCAAAATTTAAAAATAGAGGAAAGGCAGAGGCAAGCAAAAACATTTATTGTTATCGTACTTGATTAAACGTCATCCTTTACACAATCCTACCGATAATGGAACAAGACCTAAGGTGGTTCCTTGCACTGAAGGCGATGAAGTTCTTAGAGCTCTGTTTGAGCGTGCAACTAACAGCTCCAAGCAGCACCGTGGTGCAAATTCAATTCCTCCTTGATCGGCGAGGACTTAACCATACCACTGTCTCAAACACAATCAAAATTTCTGTTACGGAACAGCTACGGTGGTTAACGTCTACGTGGAAATCGATTAATTGGAAACCAGCGCAAAAGTGCTTCAAACAAGCTGAATGGATATTGAAATGATTAAGGCGGTAAAAATATAAAAGTGATTCTATATAGCAGTTTCTTCGCTTGCGCTCAAGTCGAGACTACAATGCCACTTTTCAATTAAATTCACTTCACTTCTATAATCGAAATAAATTTGATAAGCCACTCGGAGACAACATTAATGGCACAAATGAAACTGGATCAATTACTGCAATTTCGAAACTTAGGGAAGTTCAGCAGTGTTGCTGTTTCCTAAGCTCATCCGAATCGATGAGGACTGTCGACTGACATTCCTGTTGCTCAGACTACTACCCAGAGTAAACTTTCGCAACGACTCTTCTGTGTGACACTTTCTCGGGATATTTAAAGTTTGACACGCGGAAGATATATCCTTGAAAGGTGAGAGGCGGCATTGCTCTTAAGTGATTGCCTAGGAACGGCCTTCTTGTGTTTGCGAATGGAGTAAAGTACCAAAGTTAGGTCGAAGTCAAGTGTAAGATCTTATATCACTCGGTGCGCAATTAGTGTCCTGAACTTACCATTGTTTTAATCACTATTCGATTTTGTCTCTCAAACTTTACTTTAACGTTATTAAACTGTATTTTTGTAATTTGTCACTTCCGCATTCGCTCTCGATATTTCCATAAATTGAAAAGTTTGCTCCGAGCATATTTTTTAAAATATTTCTATTCTTTATGAAGGAAGAAGGATGTTATGTTCTTAAAGTTCTTGGTGATGAAACTTACATATTAAAAGTTAAGTAGCTACTTTACCAGTAATGGACAAAACTGGGGAAGCATCAGAGAGTTGAAGGGAATTTGGAAACGACCACTAATCCGTTGGACTAACCATCCTTCGTCATGTAAGTGAACAAGGGCGTTGTGGAACTTCGAAACATGTTCCATCCATTTTAGTAGTTTTCGGAGGATCAACTTGATTGTAGATCGCTCGAAATTTAGTTTCGTGTGAAATTTGGCAAATACGATATCTTTCAAGTATCACAAAATATTCATATTAAATTTGAATATTATTTATTTGCTAATATTATGTGGAATATATTTTATAATAGTCAAAAATATTAAAAATATTCCAAGACCTCTGATATCACTTGTTAAACTACTTTATAGTTGTAGTGCACCTAATTCCTTATTATAGAGCAGAAATGTTCAGAATAGTTCAAGTGATTCATGAGACACTGTCGTGCGACGCTATGCGTGTAGCATTAACATAATTTCGCTATTCTTGCTATTCTAAGACGCGATGCAAGACGCAACGAAATTGTATCATAACCTTTGATGCTATTACTGTGATGTTATAGCGTCAGCTTTCCCAGTGCATACGTATAAACCCCCCCGCGAAATCACCATGGCAATAAATTCGATATCACCATTCTCGATGGATCTCCGATTGGACCAAAAACATTTCGGTTCCACTTTGGTGAAACCATTTTTCGTTTAAATTCTCATCGGAATCCGTATATTTATGGACGACACGTTGATATAACCCGGCACAGAACACACCAGATTTACGATTAAACTCAGTTGAATATGGCTGACGCGGTCAAAATCGGTCATTCTGTCACAACGAGCAGGGGACTAGACAGGAAGTGCGTTTTAATTCTGTTTGAAGTCATAATCGAACTCTCTTTGAAACTGTTAATCTAGAACGTTTTGAAAGTTTTGTTTCAAAAAGAAATACTATCAAATCATATTGAATGCGTAGCGCCTACGATATTTTTTTTCAATTTTGTTTTACATACGGGTATATCATAAATAACACCGAGCGAGATTGATAGCATTAGTTGCAGAATGCTTTACACCACGACCTGCGACTACGCGAGATTTCTGCCATTGCACGGTATTTTTGCTTCAAAAATAATTCTGTAGATTGCAAAAATGTGTATGTTTTATAGGATTATGCTCGATGCCATAATCGGAATTTGTGATTTAAAAAAAAAAAATTACAAACTTTGTTTCCGAAGGAATATCATGAATATTTTACTACAAATAGCATTATTGATATTCTTCGCGTTATTTTATTCGATATTATTTTTCGCATCTAATATTAGAAGAAAATCTGATTTTTAATCCATATTGCAGTACTACATAGATGTATATTTTTTTTTCAGCTTTGATTTTTTGTACTCACCTTACCGAAATTCGAGAGACCACCGATTTGAGGCACTTGACCGGGTTCATCCGCCGTGCTGCAGTCTGCCCTAACGAACCAACAGGTCAGTAACTCAGTAGCGACAATCATGAGCGTTATTGCGATAGAATCTCCTCTAATCACAGATTTCCACACCCCCATAATGCTAACGACAACAACGAATAGCATTATTCGCAGAACAGTAACTTGCGCCGAGTCACAATGGGTACGTCGCAATCATATCGCAACTAACTCGTCCCTATTCCAAATCATCTCGGAATATTCTAATACGTAACTTCATTAAATTTACGTTACGTACCCATTCATCAGTCTCATTGTATGCTTTCACGAGAGAAATTCAAATACATATTTCAGTATTAGTATGACACATTGTATCCACACAAGGATATTTTCATTGTGTGAAAAAAATTGGAAGAGTGATTTTCTCCGCGCAAGCTACGGCGTGCGTTGAAACTATTACAAACTACTACATAAACGTTGCATGCCGTCTATCTCAGTTTTTACATTGTTTTTTCGTACTAGGTAATTTATAGTTTTCCAAACTCTAATCGTCCTTTGATTTTATTAGGTGTAAAAATGGAGATTGACAATATATATACGTAACATTCCGAGTGAGTATAATAAATTAGCGCAGTGAAATATTTACGGGATTATTTTATTAATTTGCAATTTGCAACTCTATTTCGAGATAATTACGAGTATTTCTCTATGGCCATTGTAAGTTGATTGGGTCGATTGGTACATTTTCTACAGCGTGATGCATTGTTAATTGGATCCTGTCATGTAACATGCAAGTAAATAACGTTCCGTTGAATTGGATGGCTTTTATGTGAGAGAGAACGACCAGTTTCCGTGTCAACAGCGAGAAAGAAAAATATATATCTTGATCGGCCCCGATATTTTTCTCCAGAAGTCATTCTCTTCCGTTTCGTATAAACGTCTTTTAATCACATATCACATAATGCGTTCCAATTCTCGCGAGACACGCAACGCATCTGATCGCGATAACAACTCGCGATAACACCGCTCTGCAGCGCGGTGGTTAAATATCTTATGTAGATGGGATTATGCTAGACGTACGACGTGCTTTGGGCGTCAGCTCGAGGACTCGGGGTAATACCACGCTGACAATCGTGCGCATTAGTGCCGTATCCTCTAAAGCCATCGCGAATAGAGCAATGATGCGGTGGGCGGTAATAGCGACGATAATCGATAACCGAGCCATTGGCCCGTCGCGTGTACTACCCATCGACTCGAGATCGGTTCGAAGTTTCAGCCGCATTTAATTGCGAGCGACGACACGACGGACAACGCGCCATTAAATCACCGGATCGGGCGCGACTTTCCCCCTTCGTTTGAGTCGCTAATCGAACTTGTATACGGCACGGTCGTCACCGGGCGACATTTTACCGAAATCGGATTTACATTAATCGCGTAGAATTCACTCCGGTCCCTGTCTCGCGCACGAATTTGTGATTTCACGAATTTATGATCGCGACTAGAATACCGCGGCGATGGCTGGCAGATCCGGCATTTTTGTTTAGCCGCGCAAATCGTAATCGCCCTATCTCACGCAGTTGTAAAACGCCGAGCGTCCGCTGGACGCGTATAATATTGTTACAATACACATTAATCCGCGCAGGATTTATCGCGTTACACGCGAGATTTAATTGCAAAACGACGGATAAGCAAAGCAGGGATGCATGAAATATGGCGGCCGTCGTGTTCTGAGTGCGGAAATAAATCGGTCGGTGACGCGTCTATTGTTAACGACTTTTATCGATGCGGCTTTGCGCGCATTTCCTCCGAGCGGTATCCTTACGCCGGGTTAAATGCACTCATAAATAAGCCGTGCGAGTTGATCACCGTCTTGCGTGTTCCTCATTATACGTCGTGTAATATCGCGTTTATAACGACGAGGGTATTATTCGACAAAATGGCCTGAAATTTTCTTTTATTCTTGAGTATACGGGAACATTAAGGATGTTTTAAAACGCGGTGTTTTAGATAATTTTACCCTTGGATAATTTCAGTCACAGTAATAAATATGCCGTTTAATTGGGCAAAACGGAAACGCGTCAATTTAATTGAGGAATGCTTTTGAATAACGCTATCGGATAACAAAGTAATCTACGAAAAAATTTTAATATTGCTTATTATTAATTAACCAGAAATTCGAGCGTCTATTGATTTTAATTAATAATCTCATTGAAATTTTATGAGATTTTCGACAAGTGGCAATAATTCGGGAAAAAATGTAAATTTTTATCTTGGCCATAAATGCGATAATGCAGTAAAATCGATCTATAATAGAGCATCGATTCTTGTGACGGGCGACATCGTAAAAGAAAACGTGATACTATAAAACCGGAAGCCGAAACTGTAGAGATAGATAAATCAGAGTTCATCTCGCTCGTAGGAGAGTGGCACATTAGAATGCGCCGTCAGTCCGTCCGAAAAGTTTCTTATCGCGTTCTTCTTGCAGCCGTCAACGTCTTGTAAATGGTCGCCGCCACTCGCAAATTCGTCTATTGTTTGTCGCGCAGTAATATTTTTACGGCGAGTGTCTGACGCGGCACCGGCTGGAACAGACGACCTGCGACCTTTACGTAATCCCGCGACCCCGCTCGATACTTTTCCTATCTCGAAACGAAAAAAGCACACCCGACGTGTAAAAAAAAACCACGGCGGATTATACCGAGAAATTTCACTGAGAACCAAGAGTGGATTGTGTAACGCGCTATAATTAAATTATTTCCGCTTTAGAATGGAATTCAATCTAAAAATATCGAAAATGCGCGCTCGTTTTAAATTATTCGCGATAACTTTCTTTTGTGCAGATACACCTCTGTGTACAAAGGAAGTTTATTTTTGCATACATATTCAGGCTTTTATTTTCACAAAAATTAATATTTTTTCCAGTCGAAATATTTTTGCAGTTGAAATATTTTTTGAACCTCACAGAAACTTTGCGCAATTTGCAACGTTGAATGACTCCATATAACCGATCCCTCGACACATTGCAATCACCATCTTTTTCAATTCGGCCTCTGAAAGCCTGCGGCCTGGCACCGCAAAACTACGCTGTACGTGAATTTTGCGGATTACACCACAGACGCACCGCGGTAACGTTGTGCCGTTGATCTTACGGCCCGCGCATGGACTATTATACAAACTTTAATCCGTTTACGTTAAACGTTTTACCGCCCGTGTTCAAAGCGATAGCTTTTAATGCCCGAGAAATGAACGAAACTGTATGGCTTCGAGTTACTATTGCCGATCGGGTATTTCGCTCTGGGCAATGCAGATGAGAAGTCCCTGCCAGTGAATGCATTGGCGAATGCATTCGCCATGATGCGGCGTCGTTATTGTGCGGCTTACGGCCCATTTTCAGCGGCCGGACAATAAAATTCTACACATGTAATCGCTATTCACGCGTCAGCGAGCATCGAGTAATCTATTTCGTATTTTATTTCTGACCCCGGCGACGGAGGTCCAGTTCGTGATATTCTCGCCAACGATTCTTTCTCTTTCGCTGAATAGATGCCTCGCGCGCGAAGTGATTACATTCTGCAAAGCAAAACACGCAAGACATAGACGAGGTAATCATTAATTAATCTTCAGATCTTTTACAAATATAACGGCAAATTTTTCCGATGCGGAATGTAAAATTAAAAAAAAAAAAATTATCGAGCAGCAATTTCTCACGTTAATCAAATCGCGTTTAAGCGCTTTTAGCGCCTTGATTTGCGCGAAATGAATTTATTCAGTGTGCTGCGCTCGCTGCACTTTGCAGATTCAACGCGATTAGGGCTTGAGATTGTCTACGTGTACGTGTGTGCGCGCGCGCGCAAATGTATAGCGGCGACGGCATTTAACGAAATTGCAGCTCGTACGATCCCGTAGAGGCGTAACGCCGGTGTAACGCGTTTTATTCATGGTGCTTTTTATTGTCCCGCTTTAAAGTACGATTACACAGCAGACATTCTTATTTCTGCGTCGGCACACTCACCAAGGCGTGTTGCAGGTGTGCGTGAGGGTGAGGTACCTGGCGCCCAGCTCGTACAGCATCCTCAAGACCGCCAGGCTCGCCCCGACGGCGTGGCCCCCCTCGACCCCTATCAGGCTCGCTAATCTACCCTCCTTGTGCGCCCTCTCGATACCTGAAGCCCATACATTACAACATTGTATAACATTATAACTTACTTCGCGCAACCCTCCTCCACGCCACCGCGTTATTCATGCGTGAATAGCGTAAATCTGGATCTTGGGGCTTGAGCCCCGACGCTATTACGCGCCATTATTCCGACGACGCTAGATTTGAATCGCACGTGTCACAAGCGAGCCCGACAAGTTGCAGCAGAACGTTTCAGACGTGCGCCTCGACCAGATTTCAATACCGATAATGCGTGCAAGTGTGCACCGCAACGGCTTAATCCTTTCGTTTAGCGTTATGAAAAATTACTGTTGAAGAAAGTTTTTTGCCCCAGGCTCGACTAAATGCGTGTACCGTCCATTAATTTTCCTCGGCGGAAGAATGATCTCGCCTTCGCGAAACTTTGTACGTAACGCATGTGACACGTGAATCTGATAATGGCTGGAACGCCGTCACGAAGTTCCGGAGGCCGTGCCTCCGATAAGTAATGTTGATGGTAAGTGGATCCGAGAAGTTTGCAAATTCTCTTTGCAGACGAAGTCGTGCTGAAACAACATTCTCGACGGACATACGTACATTCCGGCGCGAGAGATCGTCGCAAAGAGAAAGAGAGAGGAGGGGGGGGGGAAGTGAGAGAGGAAATACTTGAGCGTTAAACGCAATTTCCGATACTCGCCGCTGTATCGCCTTTTATTTCGCACGAGCGTAAACAATACGAGTGCAAAATTTAATTACGATGCGCACAATGCGCGACGCACGCGGATTATAATTAAGCGAGCTTATCCGATGTCTCCGATCTTCGGATTAATTAAATCCTTCAAATTACCTGTCGTTATCGGGAATGTTTCATCGCGACGATCGTTAATTACAAAGTGTAAATAAAAGTTAATTAACTCGGCGGCGTGCGCGCACCCGAGGCCCGAAACCTGAGTCCATCGAAGAAAGCTCTCGGAGCCGGAGCTCTTAATCAGCGGGTAATCGGACGTTTTGTCAGCGTTCCGCGAATTCGATCCGTGACATTTAGTCGTCTAATCGAATCCGACCGCGCGATATCCGGCTGGCGAGTGTCGGGAAATTCAATTTCGCGATTCGCGCCATGCGGACTTCGTTTGGAGCGTCTTGTCGAATGTAACGCGCGCCGGATGAAAACGTCTTGCCGTTAACGTGTTTGCATAAAATTGCACAGAAATGCACGCGCGCATTTATATCGTTTTCTTCCATGCGAATTCTCATGGCCCGCCTCAGAGCGCGCGCGTTCAGTATCGGCTTACGCGGTACGGATGAGTTTGATAAAAAAAGAAAAAGTGCATGCCGTAATTTATCATCCAATTACAAAGAATTTACGGCAGCTAGGTGGAAGTAATACACTTGACGCCGACGACGGATTACCGCGCTTCTAAAAATATCGTTCCGGAGCGAGGTAATATCACAAAAGCAGTAACCGGAATACATAATACTGTGCTGCTGTGTCGTTGCAATATATTGCTGTATATTTTTAATACGTTCACTCGCGTGTCTACACTCGCACGCTGCTTGAGCGATCGATAATTGAAGAGATAAGCCTTATGCCATAATGGATTAGCGTTTTCGGAGGTGAATAAAATTTTGCGATTTTTTAGTCATTTTCAAGTTGTTTGTAAGTAAAAATTATTATTTTACTTCAATTGTTATGAACATTTTATCGATAAGGCGTTTTTTTTTTTCATTGTATCGCTTTACAATTTTTTTTATATAAGCGACACTCACGAGTGTTGATAAATTATAATTTTCTTTGTACTTCTAAAAGTTCGTAAAACGAAAGTTTGTGCAGCTGAGTGCCTACATTATCCGTGCAATTTTTAAACGTATAATCTTGTTTTAAATAAAAAAAAGATCGCGGAAGCCACCAGCCTTCCATAAGCCTTATATGAAAACTTCCGACATATCAATTTAAGTCACTTTAGATATTTTTAGTCGTTTAACTTTCGTCCAGTCCCTTTTCTTCCCCGTGCAAAGACGACGACAAAGTCGCACTTTTTTGCGAATCCCGAACTAAATCTAACGCGTCACAGCGACGTTATTTGTCGCGGCACGGCGGCTTTAATTTTTCCCGCTGACGCGACCGGCGATTACGTTGTATTACGGCTTCTAATGCACGGACGGACGAAAAAGGAGCGACGCGAATAAAACGCGTGCTGTCGATGGGTCCCTGATTTAGTGCACCGCGCGATTTATACTTTTACACCCGCCCGCACGTAACGCTGATACATTTGATCCTGCAAGTGTATCGGTTCCGTGTATCCTCACACGGATGCGTGTATGTAGCTTTGCGGCGCGCATGTATGTGTGCGTGTATGCGCTCGCACGTATACGCCAAGATCAATGCTTCGACATTATCGGAGAAGCTACGGCAGGTTCTATGGTTTCAGAACATTCTTCCATTCCTCGTGGAATTTCTCATCTTCCGCGTTCTAGCAGCGCCCTTTTTTCCATCTGGCAGATTGCTTCCCCGAAGTGCTATATTTTGTACTTCCTCGTTTGCACGGTGAACTTTCTCTTTCTCTCTCTTTCTCTCTCTCTCTCTCTCTCTCTCTCTCTCTCTCTCTCTCTTTACGCGACCCCCTTTTTCAGTCGGAAGAGATAACACGCTACTAATGTGCATGAAATTTGCATATTTTTAAAAAGATAGGTATGCGGTTTGCCTCACAGTAACGTATGGACGTTTGTCTTTTTATCAACACTTACGTAATGCACTATGAATAAAGTGGAAGTAAAACTTTGAGAAGTACGAATAAAGAATGGGTAACACGCTTAGAATAGAATACGGGGTTTTCTTTTTACGTGTCGATGAGAAAATGCGAAACGGAAAACGAAAGTGAGATTATTTATAATAAAAATTATGTAACGCTTACTTCCACATAGATCGATTGCACGTGCGTCAAGAAAATGTAGCAGAATGTACTATATTCTCAAAGTGTAATTGTCATCTTTTTTCCCTGAATTCAGATACAGAAACTTGCGATATAGAAACTTGCGATACAGAAATGCTCTCGAGATTGACATCCTAAAATTTATCGCACGAAAATGCAACAACATTGTAATGTTAGAATTACAGTGTATACTGCACTGTCTGAAATAACTTTTAATCAGCGGCGAAAAAGTCGCGACGGGGAATACGCGCACGGGCTGTCGGCTCCGTACAATCAGCTGTCCGTATGTATGAAAACGTACATACATATGCGTATATTTTATGTTCATTTACATATGCATGCACGCGGCGACATGCAGTCGTCGGCGTTCGGGGTTATCGAACGGAGTGCGCCGGGCGGTACACCGGACCGACATTTTTCCATTCCAGTTGGAATTTATCACCCGGCGCATCTTCCTCGTGTTCCATCATCTTCCCATCGGATTTGCGTTACGCTTAGACAGTGCGCATTGTGACAGTAGGACGACGAAATCCAACGGCAAATATTTGCTCGTCAAATACAGGAATATTTTCTAGGAATTCCTGGCGCATACACACATCTTCGCAAAATATGACGTATTAAAAATAATGGAGAGGGAGGGAGGG